GAAACAGATCATGTCAATAATATTAACCCTTTCCTTGCCCTTAAAAAGGTATGCCTTTTGTTAGGGTAACTATTAGCAATTCTTGTGAGCTCATTAGTACTTTGAACAGTAGGCACCATACTGCCCAGACATGGCCCATTGTTTTCTCAAGTTACAACACCGAAAGGCTTATTAAGAACATCGCTACTTCTGTCTATTGATACAGTCAAACCTGTGTAAGACGGCCACCCATTGTCAAGGAGAAAAGTGGCCGTATAAGACAGGTGGCCGTCTTAGGCAGGATTGATCAAGAAGAAGAAAACAAACCATTCCTTTCTGAGAAAACAAACCATTCCTTTCTGAGGTCCCAACTGAAGGTAGTCGCATTGTTATTGTTGTTGTTGTTATTTTTGTTGTTGTTGTTTTCGCTGGGGTTGTTCTCTCTTTTTTTCTTTTGTTGCCGCTTTTGTGCAAGTGTGACAATAAAACGAAATGTGTCAGACAAGGACGACCAAGTGCTATGGTAAAACAAACACATGTGTCGCTACCATTCGGAGAACGAGCGACGCTTCTGTTACAAGTTCATGTTGACGTCCATTGTTACTTTGTTACATACGGACTGGGTAAACAGTGACCACTCATCTCACTTACGATTTGTGTGTATGAGTTCTGGGCGGGGCTTATGGGTTATGAGGGATCACACGCTTACCTCACCAGCAGCTGAAAATTAATTTTGTTACCTATTGGTTAACAGTGGGAGGGGCCTACGCAACATGATCGGTTGGAGGGACTACCTAACAACAAAGACAGGTGATTAGATTATGACGGCTCGCCCACAACGCAAGGGGACAGTGCACAATTTATGACAAAACGTAATGGAGTCACTAAGGTGGCCGTCTTAGTCAGGTGTTATTGCTTTGTATGATAGGGGTTGTGTGTTAAAATATGGTGGCCGCGGCCGCGTTAGACAGGTGCCCGTTTTACACAGTTAAATTATATAGAAAAAACGCAAAGGGGGAAATGGAAAGTGGCCGTTTGTACAGGTGGCCGTCTTATAGAGGTGGCTGTCAGGGCAGGTTTGACTGTATATACTATAATCTCACAGTTTAATTTTTTCGAACCCTAAGAGAGGCCTTGATGAAAAAAGTGACGTAATCGGAGGTGTTCTACAATTTCCAATTTCCACTTTTTTCTGCTCCCGAGGCTTTATAATAACTTCTCTGTAGTCATGTTATCATCTTACACATAATTAGTTTTGTGCTGTACTGTTATCCTCAAATGAGATCAAATTTGTTTTTCAGTAGTCTATACGTCTCCCGCTCCAGGACAGTTTGGATCCCCAACTCCCTCTCCTAGTGCTGGACAGTTTGGATCCCCAACTCCCTCACCTAGTGCTGGACAGTTTGGATCCCCAACTCCCTCACCTAGTGCTGGACAGTTTGGATCCCCAACTCCTGGTTCTAGTCAGCCATGTGTCTCTGGATGGTCCTCGTGGATAAATGAACATTCTCCAGTGGGCACTGATGGTGATAATGAGAAGATGAGTAAAGAAGAACTAGCCAAGTTTTGCCCCAATGGAAAAATCACAGACATCCAGTGTATTGACGCACAAACTGGAGATGATTCAACCAGTCTGGCAGAAGCCTCCTGTACTGTGGAGGGAGGACTTTCATGTACAAGCCTTCCTTTCCCTGGCATCCCTCCTTGTCATGACTACAAGATCAGATACATGTGCACCTGTTCAGGTGAGGTGACTGTTTACATCCGACAATATTTCCTTTGTATCTAGATGTTGTCCCCAAAATATACATTATTATGTTCCTTAACAGTCCTACCTTCAGCGTAGAGTGTTTAAATCAATGTTTGGGTCCACACTGCCATTATCAAGTATAAATTTAGTATAGTTTTGTCATTATATCTTTTTTTATTATTTAAGTATTAAAGTTTGTCATTATAATATCTTTGTTCGTTATCTAAGTGTAAACTATTGACATTGGAATTGTTATATTTTGAATATCTCATACCATCATTTTATAACATTGAAGGACTTTTATTTGGCCCAGATTCACAATCAGATGAGTATATAAATTTAGCCTCTTTAACTTGTCCAGCTGCTCTTTTTTTGGATCACCACAAGTCCTTCATTGGCCTTATACTTTTCTGAAAAAATAGAAATTGTGTTTATTAAAATTAGTTAACTATTGATATACCTACCTTATTGTCTCTGTCGTTCTCAAGAGTCTTCCCCTCATTAGTGTTAGCTTATTTCCTTTCGACTGAAAACTCTCTTACATATATTGAGGTTAGTTTTCTGAACTGCTAATCAGCTCTGCTGAGGAGTCTTGTAGATCCATACTTTATGAAGACGTTCTGTGTTAAATTCTTACTGAAGCCTCGTTCTTGAAGATTGTGCGAAGATTGTGGTGGATATTATAAATCTTACTCTTTGGTTAATTGCTTTCATTTTTTTTTAAAAGAAAGGTAATTTGTCTTTTTAAAATTCTTGTGTCCTTCTTTCAGAGTAGGCTACTGTATCCGTGTTTCTCCCAAAATTCAAATCATACTTTATCAGTGGAAGTAATGATGAATCTCATAGCATGAGGGATAATTCAATTCAAACCTATCAGAAAATATGTGCATATAAGATGCTTTTTTTTTCTGAAGCTAACCCAACACCTAGTGCTGGACAGTTTGGATCCCCAACTCCCTCACCTAGTGCTGGACAGTTTGGATCCCCAACTCCCTCACCTAGTGCTGGACAGTTTGGATCCCCAACTCCCTCACCTAGTGCCGGACAGTTTGGTTCCCCAACTCCTGGTTCTAGTCAGCCATGTGTCTCTGGATGGTCCTCATGGATAAATGAACATTCTCCAGTGGGTACTGATGGTGATAGTGAGAAGATGAGTAAAGAAGAACTAGCCAAATTTTGCCCCAATGGAAAAATCACAGACATCCAGTGTATTGACGCACAAACTGGAGATGATTCAACCAGTCTGGCAGAAGCTTCCTGTACTGTGGAGGGAGGACTTTCATGTACAAGCCTTCCTTTCCCTGGCATCCCTCCTTGTCATGACTACAAGATCAGATACATGTGCACCTGTTCAGGTGTGTTGACTGTTTACATCCGACAATATTCCCTTTGTATCTAGATGTTGTCCCCAAAATATACATTATTATGTTCCTTAACAGTCCTACCTTCAGCGTAGAGTGTTTAAATCAATGTATGGGTCCATACTGCCATTATCAAGAACAAATTTTGTATAGTTTTGTCATTATATCTTTTTTTATTATTTAAGTATTAAAGTTTGTCATTATATCTTTGTTATTATTTAAGTATTAAAGTTTGTCATTATATCTTTGTTCGTTATCTAAGTGTAAACTATTGACATTGGAATTGTTATATTTTGAATATCTCATACTATCATTTTATAACATTGAAGGACTTTTATTTGGCCCAGATTCACAATCAGATGAGTATATAAATTTAGCCTCTTTAACTTGTCCAGCTGCTCTTTTTTTGGATCACCACAAGTCCTTCATTGGCCTTATACTTTTCTGAAAAAAAAAGAAATTGTGTTTATTAAAATTAGTTAACTATTGATATACCTACCTTATTGTCTCTGTCGTTCTCAAGAGTCTTCCCCTCATTAGTGTTAGCTTATTTCCTTTCGACTGAAAACTCTCTTACATATATTGAGGTTAGTTTTCTGAACTGCTAATCAGCTCTGCTGAGGAGTCTTGTAGATCCATACTTTATGAAGACGTTCTGTGTTAAATTCTTACTGTAGCCTCGTTCTTGAAGATGGTGCGAAGATTGTGGTGGATATTATAAATCTTACTCTTTGGTTAATTGCTTTCATTTTTTTTTAAAAAAAGGTAATTTGTCTTTTTAAAATTCTTGTGTCCTTCTTTCAGAGTAGGCTACTGTATCCGTGTTTCTCCCAAAATTCAAAACATACTTTATCAGTGGAAGTAATGATGAATCTCATAGCATGAGGGATAATTCAATTCAAACCTATCAGAAAATATGTGCATATAAGATGCTTTTTTTTTCTGAAGCTAACCCAACACCTAGTGCTGGACAGTTTGGATCCCCGACTCCCTCACCTAGTGCTGGACAGTTTGGATCCCCAACTCCCTCACCTAGTGCTGGACAGTTTGGATCCCCAACTCCCTCACCTAGTGCCGGACAGTTTGGATCCCCAACTCCTGGTTCTAGTCAGCCATGTGTCTCTGGATGGTCCTCATGGATAAATGAACATTCTCCAGTGGGCACAGATGGTGATAATGAGAAGATGAGTAAAGAAGAACTTGCCAAGTTTTGCCCCAATGGAAAAATCACAGACATCCAGTGTATTGACGCACAAACTGGAGATGATTCAACCAGTCTGGCAGAAGCTTCCTGTACTGTGGAGGGAGGACTTTCATGTACAAGCCTTCCTTTCCCTGGCATCCCTCCTTGTCATGACTACAAGATCAGATACATGTGCACCTGTTCAGGTGAGTTGACTGTTTACATCCGACAATATTTCCTTTGTATCTAGATGTTGTCCCCAAAATATACATTACTATGTTCCTTAACAGTCCTACCTTCAGCGTAGAGTGTTTAAATCAATGTATGGGTCATTATATCTTTTTTTATTATTTAAGTATTAAAGTTTGTCATTATATCTTTGTTATTATTTAAGTATTAAAGTTTGTCATTATAATATCTTTGTTCGTTATCTAAGTGTAAACTATTGACATTGGAATTGTTATATTTTGAATATCTCATACCATCATTTTATAACATTGAAGGACTTTTATTTGGCCCAGATTCACAATCAGATGAGTATATAAAATTAGCCTCTTTAACTTGTCCAGCTGCTCTTTTTTTGGTATCTCCACAAGTCCTTCATTGGCCTTATACTTTTCTGAAAAAAAAAAAATTGTGTTTATTAAAATTAGTTAACTATTGATATACCTACCTTATTGTCTCTGTCGTTCTCAAGAGTCTTCCCCTCATTAGTGTTAGCTTATTTCCTTTCGACTGAAAACTCTCTTACATATATTGAGGTTAGTTTTCTGAACTGCTAATCAGCTCTGCTGAGGAGTCTTGTAGATCCATACTTTATGAAGACGTTCTGTGTTAAATTCTTACTGAAGCCTCGTTCTTCGAAGATTGTGGTGGATATTATAAATCTTACTCTTTGGTTAATTGCTTTCATTTTTTTTAAAAAGAAAGGTAATTTGTCGTGTTTTTAAAATTCTTGTGTCCTTCTTTCAGAGTACTGTGTCCGTGTTTCTCGTAAGATTCAAAGCACACTTTATCAGTTCAAGTCATGAGGAATCTCATAGCATGAGGGATAATTCAGTTCAAACCTTTCAGAAAATATGTGCATATAAGATACTTTTTTTTTCTGAAGCTAACCCAACACCTAGTGCTGGACAGTTTGGATCCCCAACTCCCTCACCTAGTGCTGGACAGTTTGGATCCCCAACTCCCTCTCCAAGTGCTGGACAGTTTGGATCCCCAACTCCCTCACCTAGTGCCGGACAGTTTGGTTCCCCAACTCCTGGTTCTAGTCAGCCATGTGTCTCTGGATGGTCCTCATGGATAAATGAACATTCTCCAGTGGGCACTGATGGTGATAGTGAGAAAATGAGTAAAGAAGAACTTGCCAAGTTTTGCCCCAATGGAAAAATCACAGACATCCAGTGTATTGACGCACAAACTGGAGATGATTCAACCAGTCTGGCAGAAGCTTCCTGTACTGTGGAGGGAGGACTTTCATGTACAAGCCTTCCTTTCCCTGGCATCCCTCCTTGTCATGACTACAAGATCAGATACATGTGCACCTGTTCAGGTGAGTTAACTGTTTACATCCG